GTGTGTGAGTATGCTTTTGGGGGCAGTCTTGGAATTAACCACTGATATCAGGTTGTTCTAATAAACATGCAACAATTATTTTGTTTAGCACATCTGTAATCACTTTCGTCCTCTTTCTCAAGTCGAATACTTGTGTAGACAGAGTTGTGGGTGAAAAACTGCTTTATCAGTTTTTCTGGCTTCAAAACAAAACTTTAACCACTGCTAGTTAAATAGATACAACTACTTAACTAACTATTTTAAAGGATAGTTCAGAGCCTTGAAGGAGGGTTTTGTTGAAGGGGTGCAGTAGTAGATCTCTCCTATAGCAATGCAGCTAATAATTGGTCAGAGAGGAACAGAGACTAAACTAGACACCTACTACCTTGAAATTAGTTATATAAGAAAAATAACACAAAGTTTATGCAAATGCTTGAATCTTTAAAGGTTTCATGTTTGAATTTCCACCATCTCCTACTTCAACTTCCTGTACATGTTTGCTTTTCAGTTAACCACCCAAGATGGTTTAAAGAATCATAAAACATCATTTGTCTTTCCTGAGTTGTTTCAAGCTGGTAGAAGTCCGCTCTGATTGAGCCCCCTTTGGCTGAGGATTTATCCTAAATGTACTGAGCCACAGGGTCATCTCCGTCAGATAAAATAACTACTTTTAACCAGAGATCTGTCTACTGTAGTGTAGCAGAGAGCTACTATGAGAAAGGCCAACAACGTTTTCAGGTTTTCTTCCAAATCTGACCTCTAAGTTACTAGTTTGCATCTCCTCCCCCCATTTCCTTTTGAATTTTAAATCAGAAAGCAAACTGACAGTTTTTTTGCTTTTGTTTTGCAGAGGAAGTAGTATTTAGTTCAGAAATGACAAAATTATCCTCGTTTACATATTAAAATAAGTGATTTTCTTTGTTCAACTCAAAAATAAATAATAATAATAATAATAATAAAGGCTTTGTGCATTTAATGAATAGGAAAAATAATTCTGATTATTAAATATTTGAGCGAGAGTCGATCAATACAAATACGAGGTGATGATTTTGTTTCGGGTCACTTTATTCTGCTTCATAAACACACAATGCAAATGTGACAGTATCAAATTACAAGAAAATCTATTTTAGACTTTAGTTGGATGTTTTTGGGGGGGATTTTTTGCTGACGTTAACATCTTGGAAGAGCAGCGATACAGAACAATATGATCTAGAGTTTAGAACCTAAGTTCATAAACCTCATAGTGAGAAGAAGACACAGCACAACTATAGAAGAAAAACTTTGGTTAATGAGAATCAGATCAATGTCAATGGAATATCAAGAAATAACATGGAGACTTTATGTTTTCTTAAGACCACACTGGCCTGTTGATCACAAAATTGTCCCGGGGTTTTCTTCCTGAAGTAACATAAGAAAGCCAGAGAGTTGGGCTACAAATGCATTTAAAAGAAAGACTACTTTGCATATAAATGTTACAGATCCACAAGCAAATTACAGTGGCAAATAGCTGTGCAGGCCTATTATTTGTCTAAACAAATAAGAGCACATATTTGTTTATGCAGATCAAAAACCAGTATCTATGTTAGACGTGCTAAAAATAATTAGTTATGCTGCATTCTATATATTAACCAGCAACACATGCATCGTTTCTGAACCCATTACAATTAAATAACACACAGAATATACTCAAAAGATTCAGCTTACAAAATAATGCTCTTATCAAAAAGGAAAAAAAAAAGAAAAAGAGAAAACTTAACAGCATTCATTATTTTGACATGCACATCTCTTTCAGTCAAGCATTCACGCACAGAAGTGCCTCGTTAAATGGTCATTATTTACCCTGTGGATGATCAGTACTTTTTGAAACTCTGCTCTAACGTATTGCTTCTCAAGCCTCGTTCACAGCAATCAGTCCCTTCCAAGAATTCACACCTGTAAGATTCCCGAAACACAGCTGGTGGAAGCGCGAGTGCGTGAAAAAAAACACGCGATCCACGCTCACGCGTCGGACGCGGCTGGACGGTGGAGGTTTTAAGGGCTTACGGTCTCATCCTTCTAAAAATAGATAGCAACGCTCGCGTCTTCCAAGACCACAGCTAGCTTGTTAGCTGTAACACAACACAGATTCACAGCGAGATTTGGGGGTCGCGGTATAGCAACCAAACTATTAACTATCGTGCCACAAAAATCCTATCTCGTCGCGAAAACGTCATTTTAGTCGAGGTTCAGCTCGGGCCGGGGCCTCTTGTATATCCGGCTGCATAGGGATTAGTAACGATATGAAGGGATTGGGGTTTTTTTTTCGGCAGCTGTTGAAATGTTTCCATTCCAAGGCCAATGAGGAGTAGTGGCTAGCTAACGCGGCTCCTTCCTTCTAAACCTACTGCTCTGATAAAAGGGTTAGCCTTTAGCACAATGCGGGCTATGGTTATCCCATAAGTTTGTGCTATAAAATAGTTGCCGCAATAACTACCTCGATGCGACTTGCTTTCTAAACCAGTTCCCCCTCCCCTCACACAAAGCCAAGAAACCTCACGGGAAATGCAATGTTTGTCTTTCTGGCGAGGACAGCGGCAGGTTTTTGCTTAATATCACCTTACCTTTGCGATTTTTGAGGGGCTTATCAAAACGTCCAGGCCCCCAACGCACAGTGATAAGGAGCCTCTTCTGTAAAGTCTGTTTTCATGGGTAGGCGGTTTGAAGAAGGCGTCATTCCTGCTGCGTTCAAGTGCTGCCGAAATGTGGGATTCACCACATTCGTTACGGAATAGAGCAAAAAATTTAAAAATAAAATGTCATGTCACGCAAATCCAGCGACGTAATTTACTTTTAATATGAATGACGTGTAGTATAAATTACACACCACAATATATTTATTTGCTCTTGTTCACTTGAACGCTAATGTGTATTTTTTTTTAATCCAATTTGTTTATTACACGTGGAGGTAATGACGGTGGCTCACTTCACCTGGAGCCACCTGCTGGCGCAAGTTTTAAATATTCCCACACACACTACATCAGTTTTACAAATGTGATAGAATTATCCTTTCAAGAAACTTAAAAATTGTACTCAAGAGTTGCACTTCAACACAGAAAAAAGTAGAAGTGAAAAGTTAAGAAATTTCTTAGGCAAGCGTAAAAATATCTAACAAGAAAGGTGACATAAGGACTTAATGCTGTAACTGATCATAACATCTTAAAATGATGTAATCAGATGGACAAAAAAAAGTCATGTACAACTTCAGGTATTTTAAAGCCTTAAATAAAAAAATAACTGAAATAACATAATTACAAAATACATTTTAAGTAGAAGAAACACTTTTCCAGATTATTTTTTTTGTCATGTAAAACTTCTGAAACTAATACAATAGGGAATGTTGGAACAGGGTAAAGAACATCCCTTTCGGTTAAAACATGTTTGTTCCTCGTTTAGTGAAGACGCTCACAGGGATTTGAGTTTCCAGAGACTTTACTCAAGCACGTTGACAACCTAGAAACAGTCCTGAACAGTTAACATAAACAAGCACACACCCAGGGCAATTTAGTGTCACCATATTTCCAATGAATGGACTTGGGAACAAAGTTAGAGCACTTGGACAAAACCCAGACATCCACATGAAAAACATGGACTCTCCAGACAGAAAGACTCTAGGCAAGATTATACCCCAGGACCTTGTTGCTGTGAGATGACAGCATGACACTGTGCAGAATTTTGTTGAGACAGAAGAGAATAAGTAATGAATAAGAACTTGTCTTAAATATAAATCTATATTTCAGCAATGTTTTGATAAAAAAAAAAAACCTGAACCTCTGATCTCCTTAAAGACAGATCGTAGAAGAACAAATATGCGACTGTCCTTCGGTCTTCCTTTTTTCATCCTTCAGAAATTCTAATGTTGATAAAAGTCTAGTTTGGTTGATGCAGGGAGCAAACAGATGTGGCATGTTTATACATAATTCCACTTAATAATTAAGTTTGTCAAAACGTGACTGGACTAGTAGGCTATCATGAATAGGTGGACTGTTTATGTTAACAACGTTATCAGATTTGACTTATAGTAAGCATACACGACTCCTGTGAGGAACATATATTGAATTATTTTTTTGTACTGTGTTGTCTAGGTAATATGCGACATCCTAGAACCCACACTTAACATAGCAGAATGATTTAATAATTATAACAGTATAGTTATGCAGAAAGACATTTATTTATTTTTTAGATTGGTCGGGTGGAATATTGCTTTTGTGTTTGTTTTTTTTATTTAAAAAAATAATTAGGGAGGGAATATAGTGCTATAAAAATTGCAAATTGTTATATTTATAAATAAATGACTTTATTAAATCAACATAATGTATATAAACAATAACAACAAACTTAATATTGTAGTTTCATTTTTCTACACTTTGCATTTTTGAATCAATATTTTAAATATAAGTAATTTATAATATCCAAAACCATTCGCTAAAGAGAATAACTATGTAAAAAAATTCATTCACAAAATGAAACTGGTTCTATAGATTAATTACATACAGCATTGAAATATATGGTAACCACAAATTATATTGCTGGAGTTTATGATTTATAATAATCTGTGTACTGAAAATGTGGAAGCAAAGAACTTAAACTGAAAAAATGAGTGCTGAATGATATATGCCACAAATAAAAAACATCTTAAAAGAGACAGGATGTTTCAGCTTGCCCCTGACCAACAATGGTCATAAACGGTGAGGAGTAAAATGTCAGAACACAGCAAAAGTGAGTTTCACAGGCTTTCCAGAAATAAGCCAAGCATAATGAAATTAAAAAGCTTCATGGATAGAGAGCATCATAAAAAATATTGTTAGAATGTTGTTAGTATGAAACAACATACGAATGCTTGTTGTTTCATGCCCCATTATTACAAGTTTCTTTTTTATCTTCACTGTCAATGTCCACATAGAGCAAAGCATATTTGCCCAGTTTACAGTTGGGAAACAAAAGTAAACTAGCTGGACTGGACTTTGCTCAGTCCATCAAACAGATGCTTGTGTTATCCGAGAGCAGCCTTCAAGTCTAAACAGGTGCATAATGATGTTTTTTCCTTATTGCTGCTTAATGATATTTTGCTGTGTGCATCACGTGACACTTCAGGATGAAGAAAACATACCTCCTATTGCCAAGTATTTCAACACCAAAGGGAGGTATGAAGACGTGAACCCATATCTCAGACAGGACATACTCGCTGTAAACAGATCTTCTTTACAGCCTCCATCCTCGCAGTGTCGGGAAATCCATCTGACGGCCATCGTAAGACACGGGACGAGATATCCGACGGCCAAAACCGTCAGGGACATGCAGCGGCTGCACAACATCGTCCTGAATAATTTCACAGAGGAGCAGAGCTGGCTGCGAGACATCCTGACCCAGTGGACGATGTGGTACACTGAGGACATGGACGGCAGACTGGCCCAGAAAGGCGTGGAGGATCTGAAGCATCTGGCCGTCAGGCTGTCAAAGCTCTTCCCGACGATCATCTCTGAGGAGAAACTTCGAGGTGGACTCTTTAAGTTCATCACCAGCTCCAAGCACCGGTGTGTGAACAGCACGCTGTCCTTCAAAGCAGGGCTGACGGAGTTGTGGGCCATCACAGGTATAAAGATGATAATCAATGAGGAGTGTTGCTTCTTCACTCTGGCCAACTTTCTCAGTATAACCTGAAGCTTTTTTGTCAATGCAGATGTGGAGTTTGGCCACGAAGTAAATGACGCTCTCATGAGGTTCTTTGACCATTGCACCAGGTTTGTGCAGGAAGTTGATAAAAACTCATCAGCTGTGATAGAGGTGGACAAGTTCAAGCAGGGGCTGGAGATGATGAGGGTCCAGAAGAAAATTGCAGAGCGTCTGGGAATCTCATCCAGTTTAATCACATATGGTTGTATCCACCTTTTCACTTACTTTTTATCATAATTCTACTTTGGCTACTTTACTTTTTTTTCTTAAATTGCAGATTCTTATCACAAAGAAGCAAATGTCTACATGGTTCATTGTGCTCTGTGTGTTTTCCTCTTTTCATGAGCTTGTTCACATTAGCTAAAGCTAATAGCGCCTAAAGTACTATCACTAACTTTAAAATGAAGAAAGAAATGTCAGAGCATACGTTTATGTCAGTGGCAGATCTACGTGGAGCTGTTAAACACTCTTGCTCAACACATCTTCACTACCTCCAACAAAGGAGGAGTAATTTGGCAAACTGTGCTCAGTGAAATAAAGCAGCTTTCATTCCTTACCTCTTATTTAAAAAAACGTCTAAAAATAAAACAATAGTGCACCCAAATTGAATACTTAAACTGGTGCACTGGTGTGTATCTTCCCACTGTGATGGAGATTTTTAATTGCTCTGATGGTTTTATCTTTGTTTCATTGTGCATGTTTGATATTTTTCTTTAAAAGAAAACCACTACATAATATACAGGAGAGCAAATGTGGCTGCTTTTTGTCCATTATATTTAACTGTGGTGTCCCTAATAATTATGTAAATAAATAAATCTTAGTGTTGTAAAAGTATAGATCTTAAGACCATTAGACATATTGCTCAGTAGTTTAACAATACTAAGTGAAAGTGTCAGAAGAGTTTCCTGTTTTTGGCAATTGTTTCAGATCACTGTTTCTGCATGAGAGTGACCACTGTCATGTTTCACTCACAGATTTGGCCGAGGCAGCATTTCTCTTGTGCACTTATGAACTTGCTGTCAAGGCAGTAAAGTCCCCCTGGTGTCTACTCTTTGATAAGGAAGATGCAAAGGTTGGAGTCCTACTGTTTAATTACATTAATTACAACAATTTGATTTTGCTAGCAATAGTCCTGGAAAGTCTTTCTTGAGCTTAATGAAGGAAAATCTTAGGAGAAAAATGGATATTTGATGTTTTAAAGTCCTGACTTAAATGAGCGGGTGATTAACAGGCTTCTGAAGCCTTTGGTGGTGATACCATACATACAGATAGAGCAATAATGGTCGAGATCAATATTCATGTGCTAAAGTGTCCTGGACAAAGTCTGTCATCCAACTGAGAATCTGTGATTTGAAAATTCCATTCGATCTGACTGACCATGAACTATTTTGCAAAGAAGAACAGGTCAAAGTTTTAGTCTATAGCTGTACAAAACTCAAAAGACTCGCACAGTAATTGCAGTCAAAGGTGGTTCCGCAAAGCTTTTGCATTGGTGACCAAATACAAATCGGCGGCACACTTTTCAGACCCTTATTTGGAAAATGCAATGACATTTCTACCCTTAATGCACCAGAATGGTAAAAAAAAGTTCAAAAAGGTCATACCTTAGAAAACTGATTGATAATTTGAAGAACGCTAGACTTTTTCTTTACATTATTGCTCCATGTGTCTGTTTTTCTGCTTCAACAGGTTATGGAGTATGCAAGTGATCTGAGGGAGTTCTGGAAAAGAGGTTATGGTCATGACATCAACAGCAAGTCAAGCTGCCCCCTCTTTCATGACCTGTTCAATCGACTGGACAAGGCAGTCAGAGAAAACACGTGATTAGATAATTCATCACTATGGCCTAAGGAGAATAAGCTCTTTTTTTAGTGGTTGCCAGTATCCTCGGGCATTTTTTTACCTTTCATGTAATCTAACACTTTCATTGCCGCATGTCTATTCCGTGTGCTTCAGGTTACATCAGCAGGTCAGCGAAGCGGTGACTGTCCAGATCGGCCACGCAGACACCCTGCTGCCATTGCTCACCCTGCTCGGCTTTTTTAAGGATGTGGTCCCGCTGACATCAGCCAACTACGCCTCGCAGACTCAACGCTCGTTCCGCACCAGCCGCATGTTGCCTTACGCTGCCAATTTCCTCCTGGTGTTGTACGACTGCGGAGAGGAAGGCATCAGGCTGCAACCTCTGCTGAACGAGAAGCCTTTGACCTTCCCCGGTCTGACTGATCAGCAGGCCTCCATGCCGCTCTATGAAGATGTCCGACAGCACTACAGAGATCTTCTCAGCGGCTGTGACTTTGAGGCCAAATGCCAACGTCTCAAAAATCCTGCTGAAGTTTAGTGCTGTTTTCATTGTCTTTTAGAAAAAATAAAGATAAACATCTGGTGAAATCAACTGGTCTGAGCCAAACTGGGAAGAATGGAACATCTAATATTAGGGTCATACTTTTTTGTTCCATTTAATACAAAGACTGGGATATTTACCAAGCTGTGAGCTTTTGCTAAAAACTACAACAGTCCATCTCATCTTTATAATTACCAATCTGAACATCTAATGAAGCACAGAACATGTGCCGTAATGTAAAAATGTTAAGGATGTTTGGAACGATTTAAGACATTGTTTTTGAAAGTTTGCGATCTGCTTGAGCTCACCAAAGAAACCATATTATTTGTTTGCTTTTAGAAAACTGATATTGCAGGGAATGCTTGTCAAATTCGTATTAAACAAAGTGTCACAGGGGGCGAGGGAGGCAGAGCACACAGAGGACTAGGAAAAATATGTAACACTGAAGAATAGCTGCACTAAATAAACACTGTGACTCGAGCAACTCAGAATAACTGGGAACAGAAACACGCATGACCACAAACACTAGGATGAACTGAACAAAAGTAAAGATCAAAATCCAATGAAACAACACCAGATCCTAACAGATTTTCTTTCAAGCTAACCAGAAAGCATGTGGTCTGCTTTATTTTGGATATGGATTATCTTGTATCTGTCTGTTTTAAATACATTGCTTAACTCTCTGGAAGGTGAAAGTTTTTGTTGTGCCTCTCCCCCCTCCAGCACATGAAGGGTCCCAGGGTCTCGTCAAGGCGAGAACCGCCTCTGCACGTGTCACGTCAATTTGATTGGCTGATGAATGCAACACGAATAACGTCACGCATTCTGGGTCCGCGCACGACGAAGCGAGACCATGACGAGCTTTGCGTGCAAAATCCTCCTCTTTACCACCGTAACGGGCTTTTCCTGGTGTTCTCACAGCGACGCGAGTCCAGAGGAAAACCCGAACATCCCGGCCATCGCCACGTATTTCGGCACGAAAGGAAGGTACGAGGAAGTGAACCCTTACCTGATCCGGGACATACTCGCTGTAAACAGGTCCGGTTTGCAGCCGCCGTCCCCGCGATGTCGCGAAATCCATCTGACGGCCATCGTGAGACACGGGACGCGATACCCGACGGCCAAGAACGTGAAGAAGATGCAGAAAGTTCACCAGCTGGTCCGGAGCAACGCCCGCGGTGCAGAGAGCTGGCTGCGAGAGATCATGACCCAGTGGACGATGTGGTACACTGAGGACATGGACGGCCGACTGGCCCAGAAAGGCGTGGAGGATCTGAAGCATCTGGCCGTCAGGCTGTCAAAGCTCTTCCCGACGATCATCTCTGAGGAGAAACTTCGAGGTGGACTCTTTAAGTTCATCACCAGCTCCAAGCACCGGTGTGTGAACAGCACGCTGTCCTTCAAAGCAGGGCTGACGGAGTTGTGGGCCATCACAGGTACCGCCAGTGATGATCGCACTAGCTGCAGAGTGATGTTTCTGTGGGATCAGTGTAACGGGTGGCTTGTTGTTTATCCCCCTCCCTCCTGCAGACGTGGAGTTCCAGCATGCAGAGAACGATGCTCTCATGCGGTTCTTTGACAAGTGCACCAAGTTTGTGCAGGAGGTTGACAACAATCCGTCAGCTCTGACAGAGATGGACAAGTTCACACAGGGACCAGAGATGGTGAGGGTCCAGGAGAAGCTCGCTGCCCGCCTGGATGTCCCATATCACCTCATCACATACGGTCAGTTGTAAGGTTTTCGACAAAACATGAGTGAATGTTTAAGTTATTCTAAGCCCGGAAAGTCTGTGCTGTGCTGGTCTGTTGTCACTGCCTTTCATTTGAGTTTGGGAAATGTTCATTAGGAACATGATCCAGGAGCATGCATGTTCATTCTGAAAGCAGGACTCCTGTCTCTATTGTTCTCAAAAGTTTTAATACTTGTGCTTGCATTTTCATTTCCGAAGCAGGACTTCTGTTGCACATGACTCAATCTAGAAACAAAACAAATATTAGATTGATAAACATAAGACATGCTGTACCTTAACACACAATATTACCGGCAGGAATATAATATGACTTAGTATGACTTTATAACTTAAAGCCTTTTGTTATTTAGTGAAGAAAAAAAAACTATAACTATAATTGTGAATGTCTAAATGACTTGAAAATGTGTAGATGCTTGTATTTAATATGTTTTAAAGTGCCACACAATTACATGTTTGCAGTGTAAGTTGGAACTGCTTGTCATCTAAAGTGGCCATTGGTTATGAATTGGCACTATGTAAACTGAATTAAATATGAAACAGCAGTAATCCGCTTTAATTTCACATTTTACATGGAGAAGGTCGTCAGAGAGTGATGTACAGAATTAATAACAGCAGGTGGTGCTGTTTCCTAATCTATATTTTCTAACCCTTTGTCATCTCTATTGCATTTTCTTCAGGAGTTCCTTTAAATTAAGATTTTTGTACAAAAATGTAACAAAGTATAGGTGCACGTTTAGAGTCCAAACCAACAACATCAAACCCTTTGAGCAACCAATCACCCAGCTACATTGTATATTATAATGTCATGTATGATATTACATGTAAATTGTTTGCAATAGTGTTTTTACATGAGTATGTTGTAGTTTTATTCAAGAACAGGATCTTTGTTTCCAAACTAAAAAGAGTTCAGTAGTTTTTTTTTTTTGTTTTGTTTGTTTTTTTACTGTTTTGCTGTACTGGTCAAAACATACTCAAATGTAAACCGCTACAAGTAAAAAAAAAATATGCGTGTTTGCCTTTTTCCAAATGGTATTGAACTGAATGAAAGGTTATGAATTTGTGTTTACAGTGAATTTATAACTAAACCCCTTCTGTTATATATTGAAAAACATAACAGAAGCGGGAAGAAAAGGAGAAACAAGGGAACTAAGTAAAAAAATTTAAAAAAAATAGCACATTGTGTCGAGCCTGATGGTTGCAGAGTAAAATATGGAACATAAAATTTCACAGAAAATGATTCTGAATTGAACAATTGATATTTTTAACATTGAGCTGCAACACGAAGCATTCAGTGAATCACATATATTATTTTTTTTTTTTTTTCTAAATCTCAGATATGGTGGAGGCTGCCTTCTACCTGTGTGCTTATGAGTTTGCCATCAAGACAGCAAACTCCCCGTGGTGCCGCCTCTTCGACGAGGTCGATGGACAGGTACGGTCTCACCTGCATGCCTTCAAACTTCAAATACAGTTGCAGAGATTTATATCTCGTCAAATCAGATTCAGGTTGCGTGCTCTGTCTGACTTGCTGTACTCAGAGTATTCAGGTCAGTTCATCGCCCCGTGCCAGGTGCCCAGGAGCGCAGCCTGTCAGTTTACACAATTGTCTGATTTGGTTCACACTTGTGTCTGTATTTTTTTTTTGTCATAACAGAGAAGGAGCACGGAAATTTGCCAACTTAAAAAACATTTTCATTGTCACTTTACGTTTCGGGAGTTTTTTGGTTTTTGACGTCATGCCATAAAAACATTTCTAAAACATAAAAACAAATAAACGTTAAATAATATGCTGTCAACTTAGGTATGTTTAATGTGACAGGAGTAGTTATCTTTTCCATGTTTATTTATAAATGGACATATTCATTCATTCATTTCAAAAATTAACAGAAGGCCTCTAGAAGTTGGACTTTAGTCTGTGACAGCGATTTCCCACCAACGCAAACCTCAAAATTCAGTACAGTTATCTTAAAAATAAAACTTGTTTGTTTGTACATCTGACTATTTGCACAGCATTTAATCTTTCTCACAAACAACCTGATGGTAACTCTCCTAGTAAGCATGTTTCCATAGCGAATGAAGGTCCAAACAGCAGAGTAGTCATTTGTCATTGTAGTGCAAGCAGGTTTTTGAAATTGAAAGCACACATTAGAGTCGCTGCCATGCCATCATTTTGATCTCTAGAGGTAAACAAAACACCACAATGGAAGCTGGTAAATGTAACGACTTGTTTTCGTAAGATGAACAAATTAGTATTGCTGCAGTATTTGTGTCCCAGGTTGAGAAACATGAATAATTTCTTCAAAATTGAAGTGTATTTTTATCATGAGGAGGGTCTGTGGGAAAAGGACAGATTTGTTTAGGAACAGAGTAGAGAAATTATCCCTCAAACTTTTTTATAAGAATTGTAAAAACTAGCAAGTTTTTACTATAGGCACTAGTATATTCACCTCTGAGCCTGTTACACAACTATTACATTAATTCTTTATAATCTCTTCCTTCTAATCTGGTCTAACAGGTTATGGAGTATGCACTCGATCTGAAGCAGTTCTGGAAAAGAGGCTATGGATACGACATCAACAGCAAATCGAGCTGCATTCTGTTCCACGACGTTTTCAGTCGTCTGGACCAAGCAGTTCATCAGCACAAGTGAGTGTAAAAACAATGGTGGCTGCCATGCTGAACTGCTTTTAAATTTATCAGTGAAATACAATTATTTCATTTCCAACTCCTCTGGCTTAGACTCCTTCAATCCATTTGTTTCCACTTTGAGATAAAATCTCCTTAAAGGGATGGATTTGCCCAAAGAACAAACAATCCCGAGGGTCTTAAGAGGAAGTTCATTTTGTCTTCCTTCTCTCGCAGTGTGATTATTATCACAGTCCAGTGGTGATGGACTTTGGATTCAACAGCCTTATGTTTAAACCTCAGCCTGGTTATGGACAAACAGCGACTTTTTCTGGAATCTAGCAACAGTGCATCTCTGATTCTGATCAGTCACCCCTTTTTACAGTAACATAAGCGTTAAAGTCCTCCACCAGGGAAATGAAATGTGGCAAGATGACTTGCTCCTCCCAAGTCTCACTGGGCGCAAAAGGGAAAAAATGCTGTCAGAATCTTGACTCTAAGCTGAGGGCGTTGAGAAACCTCCCTCTGGTCCAGCTGGGATGCCTTAAAGACTTTGGGGCCAACATGTGGGCGTTTTCCCTTTTAATTAAATGTGTTTCTGAATCTATGTTTTGGTTTAAACCCTTCCACTGTAACTCTGGGTGTAACCTAGATACAAGATTATGAGATTATTAGTTTGTATTCAGGATTATAGAATGGTCACTGAGCAGTCAGTGACCATGACCATGACTATTCTGAACCAAGGTAAATTGGGTTTGATCAAACCAACACCAAGCTTTCACCTGACTGCCTCTTGGATCAGTTAAGGTACCAGCAGTGGCACTTCTCGCACAATTTGGAAACCTATGGTCCTAAAACGCAGCCTCGACATTTCCAATCACAGATGATTCTGTTTGTTCCAGTTCTGGTCAGGCGGTGACTGAAGCCGTGACGGTGCAGGTCGGACACGCAGAGACCCTCCTGCCCCTCCTCACCCTCCTGGGCTTCTTCAAGGACAGCGAAACTCTGACGTCCACCAACTACGCCTCACAGAGAGCGCGCTCCTTCCGCACCAGCCGTATGTTACCGTATGCTGCTAATCTGGTCCTGGTTCTGTTCGACTGCGGAGGACAGGACATCAGACTGCAGCCGCTGGTCAACGAGCAGCCGGTCGTCTTCCCAGGTCTGGCTGACCGGCAGGAGTCCATGCCGCTCTACGAGGATGTCAAAAGACAGTATGCAGAGCTGCTTAATGGGTGTGACTATGAGACTGTGTGTGAGCTTTTCAAATCAGCTCAGCCTTAAGGAACAAAGGTTTTATTGGCTTTAATGTTTTTCTTTGACTAATGGAGTCAAATCAGTGTTTCAGATGACAACATATTGTTTTTATTGCTTTTAAAATTAAAGCCATTAATACTTCACCATTAGCTGATAATTGCACTCTGAACAAAGATGTGCTGTGCTTGTTGGATAATGACTTAATTGTTGTCTTTGTGCCACAAAGTGTTCCCTGCCTCGGAGATTCAATTTAGATCCTTTTGCTCTGCAGTATTACAGCTGATCACCTCACTGAAACATTTCCAAAGTTGGCTTTACTGTGTCTTGGATGCTGCTTCTTTTTAGGATTCATGTGATTTGTGATTAACTAACAATAATTTATGTCATTAAAATATGTTTTTCGATGATTCGAGGTTTTAACGATTTATTGCATTTGGAGTTGTGAAGAAAAAAAAAATGTGCGGTTCTGTTTCGCTTACACTTAAGTGCTCCAGAACATCAAACAAGTGTGAAAGTGCAATGAAAGTACATAAAGCAGCTGTCAAGTTGTGATGTCTAACAAGTCTTTCACAAAAGACTCATTAGTCAAAATGTTCGCATTTTGGCTAAAAATTCTTTGCAAAACTGTTTTCTGCCCAGAGACAGTGACGAGATTTTTCATTGCAAGATTTTGAGATTTACCTTTTGAAATGCACTGCGATCATTTCGTACACAACTGTACATTATGCTTTCATTTGTATTTTAGTTTTAAAACCAGCAATTGCTTTGGAAATTTTCCTGGATTGATTCCACAAGCTTTTTTTTTTCGTCATTGTATGATCCCTGTAAAACAGTAAGTCACTCATGCTGAAAGTTTTTTGCTAACAAACTGCAGTTATGAACGCTTTATTTATTTATATGCACTGCATTTGTTAAGAGACAATCGCTCTAAGATGTAAGGAACATTACATCTCGGTGGGAGTCCTTTCATGTTTTACTGATGGGGACTCAAACAAAGTGAATAGGAGGAAGGTGGGTGTGTAGGTGGGGTAGAATACAAGTAAATCCCAGACAAACAGGAGGGCTGGGGTGGGACAAGAAACCAAAAGGGATCAGACATGGAGCAGGAGCCTTAAGGGAAGAATAGGAAGCAACCAGTGTGCGTGGCAGAAACATCACGAGAGGATCCTGTAATCTTGGAGACATATGCTGCATATTGAGGAGGAGCATCTTACAGGCATACTGTCAGAAGGTGACAGAGAGAGGATGGGTAAATAAACACAAAAAAGGAAATACAGAGAAACAACAAGAAAGTGAGATACGAAAAATCCCCTGAAAGCAAAACCCATATACCAGAATCCATTCTTATGCTGAACTCCAGCAAGTCACCTTTACCACATGCCTAAATGCAGAGGTTATGGACTTTGATGACTGAGCTGCTACTTGTGGTAACAACCAATTAAACAAGTAAGTGTGCCCGATAAAGTGGGTAAAAGAGTGTAAGTTGCTGCAAGAGTCCTGAACAACACCAAGAAAATGTATGGTATTGCACGAGTTGTTATATCACTGCTTCGGAAATTCTGCTTCTCTGCTACAGCTCTATACTGACCTTAGGCTGAAATATATTTTAAATTTGCTTTGTAAATATGAACCATCGAGAACCCTCAGGTCATCAGAGAACCACAGGGTTCTCCACTGCAGGACTGAACCAGATGAGGCAAAATTACATTTCTATCCCCCTGAGCTCTTTAACAAACTCCCCCCCGACCCCCCAAAAAAATAAAAAAACTGGGATGTGCAGATTCTGTTGCAGCTTTCTGTTAAAAAAAAAATCAAATAAACTACTACTGACCTGTTTGCTGAACACTGATGAGTGGAAAAAGTGTGAGACTGAAGATGGATCTGAAATCTCATTGAAAACTATCTTTAAGCAAACCCAAGAGGGCTTTCTTTATTCTCTGTGATAAGATTCCTATTAAATATGAAGATGGTTGTCTCTCTCAGATTAGTCATTCTGCCAGACGTAGAAAAAAATAAATAGATGCATTTAAAAAACAAAAAGTTTTTTTTTTTTATTCATAAACACCTCGTCAGTGATTAACTTCTCTTTGTGTGAACGACCTGTTAACTGCAGCTTAACAAGGCGCTCGCTCGCGAGCCTACTGTTTGACCAGGAAGCAGCTCATAAATTCCACGGACAAGCAGCACCGTGTCAAATCACGGCACTTCTCTCCGCCTTTGCGACACAAAGGACACTGGCGAATCTGCCAATTATGTAAATGTATTTGAACGTCGGAGCACGAGGGAGGTACCGGGGGGCCGGGCCAGTCGACTGCTACGTGTCTTGAAAGCGGTTTTTGAAAAAAAAAAAAAAAGAAAGAAAAAGAAAAACCCTCCTCCGGTTTAAAGGCAGCCGTAAAAAGTTCTCTTGGTGAGAACTTTGCGAAGTGCCCCGAACCGTCCAGGCCCAGCGGCTGTCTCCCTGCGCGTGAAGCGGTTCGAGCCCGGTGTCCAGCTGAACGTCGGTGGTGCGAAATGTCCAGTGTGAAAAAGCTTCGTACTGTGAGTAGACATGCAGACAACGGCGATAGAGAGAGGTAGAGAAAGAGAGGGAGAGAGAAAGAGAGAGAGGAAAATCTGTGGAAATACGATTTATTTCCATAGAAACCGGGATAAACGTTTCGTCTTGCAAAGACGCCTGGCGGCACTCATAAAAAAATATGCGTCAAAAGTAACTTCTCCGCAGACTGACCACCGGACATCCCCTCCTTGCCCGGTGCTCTGTCTGCAGTCTGACTGATCATCGCAAAGACAGGCTGTTTGCAAATGTTCTGTGTGTTGTTTTGCCTCACAGTTGTTCGCTCCCTGTGCGCCTTCGCTGCATACTCAGGTGTGATGACCACAGCCTTGCCTTAGACTCTGAATAGGCCAGTTGTAGTAGGAGCATATCCATGTCAGCCTGGCCCACCGCTAACATTGGCTGTTTTGTGAAGGGGAGAGAAAGAAGCCACTGTGGAACTTGTGCACAAGAATGCTGCCGGCTTTGAGAACATGCCTTTATGTTGGGATTTTAGGCATGCAGATGCAATTAAAGCACGCTGATGCACCACATGCATCCACAGATATCCAGTATCCTACTGGGATAACTTTTCTTCCAAAACTCACTTGACACAAAGGTTTAATCTATAGGAGCTTGCATTGTAGTGCTGCAGGTTCTGTGACTGACTGAGTCACTTTTCGTGGGAAATTGTGACACATTTGGTTTCTGAATCATTAACGGACAGAAACTTGAATGGGCCCAGTTTGCTCAACAAAAACCAACAAAATCTAAATTTGTAAAATGAAGAAGAAATTGATATGATTATTGTGCAAATATGTTAGTATTTATCTTCAGATCCTCGTCTGGGCCTCATGCCTTGAACTCTGACTATGGCTGTTTAAAAAAAAAAAAAACTTGCTACGGAAGCCTAGAAAGACAACTGGGGGAGGGAGTGTAAGAACCCATCTTCTTAGTTTCACCCAATAAAATATATTTTTTCATTTTGTACGGTGCAAGTGAGACAGATGATGACTAGTCACTGCAGGGATTCAGAGTAATTAAAAGAGTAATTTTCATAATGCTGACATCAGCATTACGAAAAATCGTTCCTTTTCCTTTAATAGAAAGAACACTCTGGGGTGTGTGACGTGTCAGAGGAATGGACTTTCAGAGTCAGCTCTGTGTTTGTATGTGAAAGGAGACTCTGTTAGGAAACCTCCTCAGAAGAGCAGTGAGGTCCTGTTTGGGAGGAGCGGGGTGGAGTATGGTAGAGTATTTGAGCTCTGGGTGGAAGGGCTGTGGGCCCATGTATGTAGGACAGAAGGGAGTCTTGGTGCTCAGGCCCTGTCTGAGTGGGCTCGAGGCGTGACACATCATCTCTGGGCAGAAAGCAGCACACTGGTCGCATTGTGTCATCAGTCTCAGTTTTTTTCCCTCCAACCCGTCTGCTTTTAGGTGTTCCTCCTTATGCCACCCATTGAGAAGAAGGAACGACTTTATGTATTCAAACTTTGAGACAGCCAATTACTATCTTCCAGTTTAGTATATAAAACCAATCTTACTACGATCATTCAGCTTTGCCATTGGGCATGGATGATCACTAGTAAACAATATTAAACTGGTGGATAAATACTGCACTCGATTTGACTGGCAAAAAAAAAAAAAAAACGCTGTCCGACTGAGTCCTTTTCACTTTTCTTGCAGCACTTTTGTGTCCTAATGTAATGTTGAAAAGTTCCTATTTACCAAACCATATTGAACTTCCTCTTTGTGTCTGGTTTTCAATTTTAGGACCTCACGAGGTCAACCAATGTGGTCTATCAGGCTCACCACGTCAGTCGGAACAAGAGAGGGCAGGTTGTGGGCACTCGGGGGGGCTTCAGAGGCTGTACCATCTGGCTCACAGGTTCATTCATGTGTAGACTTCCCTTTTGCTCTAAATTTTTCTCTTTTTCTTGAAATTAACATGTACTCTGTTAACAATCCCCATCAGGTTTGTCTGGCGCTGGCAAGACGACTCTTAGTTTTGCCTTGGAAGAGTACCTTGTATCCCATGCCATTCCATGCTACTCACTGGACGGGGACAACATTCGCCACGGCCTAAACAAGAACTTAGGCTTTTCTGATGAGGACCGGGAGGAAAACATACGACGTGTGGCTGAAGTGGCAAAACTTTTTGCTGACGCTGGGCTTGTTTGCATTACCAGTTTCATCTCACCTTTCACCAAGGTCAGAGAACATTTTGCAACAATGTCACATGCTGAAAACATTATCTCACCTGTAGAGATACAGGTGAGATAATGTGTTCCGGGTGAACCCGGAACACATTCTGATCTCAATGATAATGCATTCTTGAGAGGTCCCGTTTTCAAATGAAGTCAAGTCAATTTATTAATAAAGCACATTTAATAAAAATAAGAGCTTAACACAGTGCTGGTGGTAAATTCCAGAACTAAGGTGGAACATTAGCAAAGTACCTCGCTATAAGTCCCAACAAATAAACCCTATTTCCTAAAAATACTCAGGAAGGTCCAGAAGTGGGAAACTCTAGGCTTTGGAGAAGTATTCCACATAGAAAGTTTCATAAAATTTCAACTACATTTATTGGAAAATTCCAGAAATTATTTCTTTTAAGTTTTGTGAATGTGACAGTAGAGTAAAAGGTACATTCTGGAAAGCATCTTCTTTCTGGATACAGAGAGACATTGTTAAAAACCATTTCAACAATTGCTTTGCACATGCATGTTCTTACTATTATGTACAGAATAAACTTTTGTCACTGAGTGTATTTAGAGGCTACATGCTCTTTGCATCCACAGGACCGTAATGAGGCGAGGAAGGTGCATGAGAGTGCCGGGCTAAAGTTTTTGGAAGTCTTTGTCCATGCTC